TGTTGAATATATGTGGCGCACAGATAATACAGTTAGCTATACTCAGTTAAAACACATTTTAATTCATATTCGCGTTTACGTGAACAATGTGTACACATCTAACGTTAACCGGTCCCTAAGCATACGCACACACCTGTATAGTCGCTGGCATTTTCTGCAGGGTCACGTTATTGTAATAATACAGTGTACCGTCGGCAACATCTGGTACAAACACTGGCCCTGAAACCTTCACAGTGGTTGCTACTAAAGGTTCATTTGGTTCAAAACTCCACATCTCCACCCCTGTCTCTAGGTTTAATGCATGCAGTGACCCGTCTATAGTACTAGCCAGTAATAGGTGTGGCACTTCCTTGTCTGTGGTGATGTGCAGCATGAGATCACGCTCACGGGCTCTCTGCCGAGCCATCTTGCTGTTTGTACTGGCATGACTGTCTGCGCTTATAAATGTAACACAACTCAACAACAGCAGCAGCACCACGGTTGTTAATTTCAACCTCATACTCCCTAACTGTCTTGTTAGACGAACGTCTCGAATTTTTTGCAATGATTCATGTATCGATACTCGCGTCATATTCAAGCAGGTATTCTAGTGTGTCTGGAATGTACGACACAAGCTTTCGCTGACCGTGTCGACATAGGAGCGAATGGCTGGATTTCCTGTTCATACACCCGCACTGACTCGCAATGGAACTGTACTTTATATATATAAAAGTGCATATATATATATATATTTATAAATATGTGTATGTGCCCAACTTGTATATATTATTTATTCGTTGTGCATGTAAATACACATCAACTATTTACGCCATTTATGTGATGTCATCGCTTCATCACAGAAAGCTTCACCCATTCACATCTGGGAAAAAAAAAATTATCAGATACATGATGTACATCTATATATAACATGATGTCTATATAACTAATGGTCGACAAAACTCTACAACTACATACGTGCATGATACAATGGTAAACAATACAATGGAGCCAATTGTGGACAACCGGAGGTGAGGACTTGTACTTGTATGATATGAGATATGCATAGTCTGTTTTCGGCAAATTTCGATCGCATCCGCTCTTTAGGGCTCAGGCGTACACACGAGTGCCAAGTAGTAGACAGTATGTTGGTGCAAGAAATCGTACCTATATTAATTAGTGTCAGCTTGCTGGTTTATTTTGCAATGGAATAGTGCATTATATAGCCGTGTTATGCTAGAGTTATTTACTGTTCATGCCTTAAATGATTTAAAGATATTAATTATACAGTAGAGTCGAATAACGTATATCTTTGCGTTCCGCTTCTCACATGTACTCGATTGACGCTTGTTGTAACCGTACACGAAAGAAGCATATGGAAGAGAAGGTAAATTATATATTGGATGGCATCCAATAATCGCATACTGGCTACTCGTAAATCGATTCTCCTATTCTACATAGTTACAAACGAATGCTATTCGACCATAGTGCCTGCAAATGCACGCACGTACACGTGTGTGTACACAGACACACATACACGAC